TCTGTTTACTGTTCACAAGTGCTCAGTGGAGTGTTCCATTTGCATTCTCTGCAACAGACATCACAAATAAATTTGATTATTGTTCTGTTTGGAAGCATGAAGTCAGGTAGCATTAGCAAAATTGCTCATACTGGCTCTCATAATTGCTCTTTTTGTACAGCAATGGCAAAGTCTGCCCATGCAGACCTGATAGCATTCCTATTGTTGGCATAGCTTCTTGACTCAAAAGCCAGTCTTAGCAGATGGAAATGATTGTTTTCTCTGCCCATTCCCTGGGCCAGATTCTTTGTCTTTCCAATGAACAATGAAAGGTGCCATTTTTAAAAATATCAAACAGGGTTTTCTATGGCTGTACACATATATAAAGAAGCTTGCTTGACAAATTCTCTGTGAATTCATCTTAAAACTATCCAGAAGGATCAGCTCCCTTGATGTTCAATCCAGCCTCTAGCATGGGAAGTTTTATCTATTCACTGGCTTGGAACAGAAACATCTCTGTAAAGCAGCACCAATTTGATCAGTTACTCCTCCATCTTCCAGGATAACAATTGTTAGTTTGTTGTTAGCTGCTTTGGGAAGTCTGCTATCCAGAATCTTGGGATATGAATCAATAAATTCAAGATGCAGAATATTATTGAGAAAGGAAACAACTTCCAGCATCCTTCCCACAAAGTAATTGAGAGCTATGGGGAGGAAGACAGAGGGAGAGCCCAGCTGAACAGGCTTCTGAATATTCATTAGATTTGTATCCCGCCTTTCTGCTAAGAGGAGGAAACAGCATTCAAAATATTCCCCATAATAAGATCCCTGTGAGAGAGTTTGAGGTAGGCTGATTTGAGAAAGAATGGCTGCTCCCAGCCAACCTAATGAATCTGCTCAGGACAGACTAAAATCTTGAACCTTTCCATCCTAGTTCTACTCTTGTCACCACTATTTCGCTCTCTAATGTTTAAAGAACAATGTTCTATAGAAAGCAGACCAAACTGAATTGGTGTGCTTTTTTCTTGAACTATTGCCAATTGGTGGTGTGCATGTAGAGGGGTGCATGGCTTCCCTGGGTGACAGGTGTCGCCCTGCAATGGGCCTTTCACATCATCTCATAATATGCCCCACTTGGGTTTGATGGGGGGGGGATTCATATGCTCACCCATATGAAAGCTGCATCACCATATCCTCAATTTCCTGCCTCAGATACATAGGAACTCCTGCTACTCATATGCAACAATTGTACTCTCAGAATTTAGCAGTGCAGTTGGAGGCTTTGGAGAGCTCACAGAAAGAGAGGCTTGGAGTTTCATGTTGGCCTAGGCTTATGGTTCATGACCATAAAATGCATGCGCGAAGTAATTACCAGTATTTACATGGCCCAGTTAGCTGCACTTGGCTGATCTCATAAAACTAAGTAGATTTGGATCTGGTTGCTTCTTGGATAGGAGACCACAAGGAGAGCCTATGGCTATAGGGCAGGCTAGGAACAAACAAACAAAACAAAAAAAACCCAGAAGAGAGCAATGGCACATCCATTCTGTATTGTTGCCAAAAGAATTACATACAACTGTACATAAAGTGACCAGGAATGAAACTCAACTTGAATGAGACTTGACTTTGCCCCAAAAAAGAAACATGGGTTTGAGAGAGGTGGGACAAATAGCGCACCTGGGTGGTTTGGCTTCAAAAGCTATACCAGACAGTTGGTGAACCATCAGGAATAGGTGGATTTTTAGTGGGGAGGAAGAGATTGTAGTGGGAAAAATAGAACAGCCCCTTTACTCCAGTGCATTGTTAAATTTCACTACAAATCAATGATAACACACACATGGATACAGTTCTCTGATGTGAAGATATTTTATAGGAACCACCTCACATTCACTGGTACAAAGACACAAACTCACTTAGGTGAGTCCATTACATCAAACTATTAAATAGGCTCAATAGGTTCAATCCCAAACAAGCCTGCTTATCAAGAGAGCAGGTTTACGTGAGGGAAAAGACTGTATTTGAAAACCCTGTAGACTTACCAGTAGTGAACATTACCAGAGACGTGTTCATTTAAGCCATTTTTCCCACCAAGGAAGTTTGACTCACCCTGACAACAAATCTGCATGTTTTAGATATGCTAGAGCTTGAATATGCAAATTAAAAGAATGTATTAATTATCATTAGACATTCCTTCACAAAACACTAGAACTAATTAGAGAAATAATTTGGGAAAATTGAACTACATGACAGAAAAAAATTAAGATTCATCAAGTTTCAATTCTCTAATTTTGTCAGCTTGTCAAAAGTAGGAGTCTGTTATTAATACTAGAAAGTAGTTTCTTTCTCCCCCTTCCTCCCCCTGCAGTATAGTTTAAATCCTCTTAAGTAGTTACTTTCAAATTAGAAAAACCTGGTAGGGTATTCTTTTTGCCTCCACTAGTTAAAGAGATTATTCCAAATATCAGAAATAAAACTGTCCTAACAAGTTTCACTGGATGCCATTCCAGAATTAGTAACTTGGGGTATAGACAAAACACTTCTCTGAAACTTTGCATAGTCATATTCATGAAGCCCATAGTGACAACCATTTTCCCCAGAATGCCCTTAACATGCTTTCAAAATGCCAAAGGTCTCCACTGGGTGGATTCCTGCTTTAAAGCAAGGTTCCTACAAGCGATAAATTGCTGGAGAGTTTTTCATTAAGTACATCTTGGAAACACTGGACTTGGCCTGGGTCTTGCAGTCCACTGATGCTGAATGACTTTCTGACAGTCCTTGGTTGCTTATGATGTAAAGGGGCTATGTGCAGGTTGAGGACCGACCGGACCAGTCTGTGATCTGTCCAGCACTCAGAACCTTGCATGGCTCAGGTGATGGTGACATCTTTAAGATCACAGTGACATACTATGACATAGTCAAGTAGGTGCCAGTGTTTGGACCTGGGATGCATCTAGATAGTTTTGCACTTGTTTGCAAGTCTAAACATTGTGTTAGTAATGCACAGGTTGTGCTTGGCACATTTGCTCAGAAGCAGCAGGCCATTGCTATTTAGTTTTCCCACCTCATGTCTCCCAAGGACTATATCCTCACTGTCACTGCCTGCCCCCACCCTAGCATTGAAGTCACCCAGAATGACGAGCTTGTTGCCAGTGGGACAATCTATAGCAAATCATATTATGAATCAGTGGCTGATTAATAAGATGCTGTATCTGCTTGCTTTTAATTATCTTTATGCTGAAAACTTCAATATAGTTAAATAAAAAAGAACATGGTGACTTAAATCCCTTTGAAGGAGATTCCACTAACTGGAAGTCTAATGTGAATGGGGCAAAGGGTGAAAATCAATCAAATTATACATTGATTTCATAAACATTCCCAGTGCTTAGAAACAGAAACTAATCAGATTGATTGACTGTACCAGACATGTAAACGAGTTCGTGTTTAAATGTACCCCTTTCTCTTGCATGAAAAATAATCCAGTTGTAGAAAGTTAAGAGTTTGGGTTCAGATTCCCTTCTTTGCCATGCTGGTTTCATATACAGTTGGAACAGCAGTCTCCATTAAGGTGGCAAAAAGAAGAGAAAACACATCCCAATATTAAGTCACATTCCAATTGTTGGTAGAATAGTACATTAGAATGTCAAGATAGTTTTGACACAAGACTGGTTGGCAAAAATTATGCAAATACATTCCAATTCATGAGACATAAACTAAACTCAAGCTCTGAAAAGAAAAACAGCCTGTTGTTCAATAAGTGAAATATATCCATTCTTCTTCCAGAACAGCTTAACATCTTAAGCAGATACATATACATATTAGCACTCAATCTGAGAAACATCACCCCGATAAACATAGATGAATATATAGAACTGCAAATGCGTAGAAACAACACATGGAATTAAACAAACAACCCCATCAGCACTTCCTTCCTGTAGTTCTGTCATAGGACTGAAACTCATTCTTAGTATTTCAAGCCTTCCTTTTCCTGTTTCTTAATTTTTAATTTTCTTAATGACTTGAGACTGAGTTATTAGACGTCAAGATCACAAAATCTTCATTTGGATTCCATCAGTACCATTCAACTTGACAATCAAGATACTGCCAAGCATGAGAGTCAGGCTTTAGGTATTTAGTTTGATAAGAACTTCCAACATGTTATTGTGGGAATATTCCTGACATCAGGAAAAAAAAAATCTTCATGGCAAGAGGTGTTAAGAAATGAAAAGGATGGCTCAGGAGGTGATGGTCTCTCCTTTGCTGGAGGTGTTTAAACAAGGACTAGGGGGTGGAGAGCACCTGTCAGGGATATTGTAGTAATGGATTCCTGTATTGGGCAGGGGGATAATTTCCAAGGTTCCTTCCAACCTATGGTTCTCTGCACAATGCTTTTAATTTATTTTTCAAAGAATTTATCAAGCATCATAGATAGCTGGAACTTTCATGCTGGAACACTAGTAATATTGCACTTCTTTCTTGCACTGGATGCAAGCTTGTGCTGGCATGCGTTATCCTCTTTTCAGCATGAGAAAGGCAAGTATATTCTGTTTGAACAAAATGATTTATGAAGCATATGAGTGATTATAAGTTTGGATCTTAGTTCTTTTCCAAAACCAGAAAAGTTCCATTGAGCTTACAGGACAGAAAGGAAATGGGTGACTGCCTGCATGGGAATGTTCCAGAAGAATGGTGAAGCACAGAAAGTGAATGAAAATGGCCTCCTCTCCAAAAGAGGAATCCTCTGCTGAATCAAAAGCTTTTTACAAACGGATCATTTTTATTTGCAGAGGAGACATTTAGAATTTCAAAAGCATTTTGTTCAGAAGTGAGAGAATTTAAAATGTTTTTTTTTTTAAAAAAAAAAAAGCAGGGCAGAATCTTCATTTTAGTTAAACTATACCTTTTTTTGGTTGTATTTTTATACTAGTTTAAGCTTCCAAGTTGTCTTCAGGTAATGACCTGCAGAGCACATGAAAGACATCTATTTGCAGAATCACCAAGGCATGAATGACAAGCCTAGTGAAGTCCCTATTCATTACCAGGCTGGCTGCAAATGTCGATTTCTCCTAGCTGACTCCCCCCCCAGCCAGGAAGAGCAGAGGGCAGGGCAACAAGTTGTGGCTCAGACTTTTCCAAGAATCTTGTCTCTATCTCAGGAGAAATCCCTTTAAGTTCACTCAAGTGACAAGTGGTTTGGATTATTTTCCTGTTCAATTCATTGCTTTTTAAAGCATTTTCTTGCAATTTATTACAACGAAATTAGTGCCCCCACGTTTATATGCAACTATCATTAACAAGCTGTTTTCTTTTTGTTCCTGAAATAAATTAAAAACAGTGCACAAATGGGAAAGTAAAATATTATTGCGTGTCCTGAAAAGGTTTAATCTAAGTGGGAGTAACATGGTGATTACAACCACCATAAGGCTCTGCCCATGTTACCTCTCTTAGGGGAGGATGAACTACAGCAAAGACAATATTCCAGAGACTTCAATGTGCACATGTTTCTTTATAAGTAACAACTTTATTGTAACTTGATGTCCTGAAATGCAAAAATATTTTCAGCAACAAGGTACAAAAAGTATTTCACTGAAGTATTTCACTGTTAACATCAGGCAGATATAAAAGGCTGGATGGTTTGATGAAAGTGTTTTAACATGATATGTAACGTAGATAGTTTTCAATTAAGCGCAGGCTTCAATTCTTCCAATCTTCAGATTCTAAAACAGGACTCAAAAATATACCTTCATTGGGACATATCAAAATCCAGGATTAACTAGACTACAGAGTAGGATAAACGCAAACCACAGCAGACACTGATAAAAGTAATGTGCATCCATTTCAGAGAAAGTCCATTTGCTGCAAGCAAAAAAGCAAGAAAATCAATGCAACTCCACCGTGCACTGAAACTAATGAGAGTCCATAAGGAGGATTCCAATCAATCCAGTCAATAAAAATTAAATTTGGGCTAAACATCAATTGTTTTAAGAAATCGTTTATGCCCTTAAAACAAAGCATCCCCAAATGGTTATCCTAATATTTTCTGTAGAATTGGACAAGCAAAAGTATCTAGCTTTCAGCTTGAAGGAACCCCTTCATAACGAAGCCATCATGCCATCAATGCCTTGTTTATTACTTTTGGATGACCATTACTTATCACATTGCCATATTTAAATCAAGGAATTACAAAACAAAAACAGAAAAGCATACCTTAAATATGTCTCATCTTAATAATTCTCTTTCTAGGATATCCAGGGCTGTTTTCAACCTGCAATTGGTTGTGAGAGACAAATGTGCCTTTGAAAAATATTTGGCATCTTCAGTTTTTGATGAACAAATTTGATGAGCTGACCAGATTCGATGTTCATGACTTCTTTACCAGTCTTTCTGTCTAGATTCTCCCACAACTTTCCAAATGTTTTCATTTCATCATCTTGCATTTCTAAAGGCACCAGGCATTACATGTCAGCATGCAGTAAATGGACTGCCAAAATCTGGATGTGTTACTGAGGCTTCCTTCGTTGAAAAACATCACCAACATAAGTGATTCAAATGGTAACTCTATCACTTTTAGCAGAAAACTGAATCCCGTTTTTCGGAAAACAACTCTTACAAAAAAAAAAAAACATACATCATTACACAGCACATGCAGGGTGCTCTCTTTGGGGTCAGGGAAAGAGGTCTGATGCTGAGGGCAGATGGAGAGGAGCAGATCTGGCAAGCCAAATGTAGCATTTTGACATTTGTAGTGAAAATCTGGGGAAGTGGGCTTCCCTACCCTCACATACTTTCCAGATTTCAGCCAGTAGGTACAGAAACATCGAAAATACATACAGGTTGTTCTTGCCAGCTCTTTTGGAAGAATAAGAACATTGAATGTGGTTCCTTAAGAAAAGAAGGATGGATTAGTGTATCCATAGAAAACAACATTAATTTTACTCTTTACGGTGTATTTTGCTATAGCCAACAAATAATATATTAGATCAATTCTCATGATTCATTATTAAGGTCATCTATGGCAACATCTTGTAAATTTTGATAAGATCCCTTAGACAAATAGTTTATTCTTACCACACAGTGCTTGATATTTTTGGTACAAAGTGTGCTATTAAGATTTTTAAAATCTTTAAATAAAATGCTTAAGATGTTCTACTTGACTACTGTACGCGTACTATCAGAAGAAGCTGAAATGGACAATCACTCTATTAAATATTCAAGTCACTTTTATACTATAGCTGCAACATTCGAAATGCAAAGTTGCTTATATGAATATGTTGTTATCGTGCAGCAAAATTTTCTTTTATCACTGCGGGACATTACATTCTTTTACTTTCACTGGTAAGAACACCTATGTGATAATAATTTAGATAAACAGAAACTTCTAGAAATGTTAAAACTATAATGCATCTCTGGATAGAACACTGCTGTACCACTTTGGTTCACTGAATAATGTTTAGGCCCACTGAAACCACCAGAAGTGCATCTAAAATGGTCCTTTTAACTGTGCCTCAAGGATGCATGTTCAAATTCTGCACTGCACAAATTCTTTCCTCTTAAAGAAAGACTTGAGCCAGAATGTGGATTTGTTTCAAGTTTTTGCACTGGCTTGGAAGCACTCTTTTTGCTTCCAACTCCTCTTTACGTATATTCAAAATAATCATCTTTCAGAACAAATGTGCCTTAGATCTTTGAATTAATGCTTCCCTGTTGAAAACAGAGAGAATATATCTTTTGAAAAGCTAAAGAAACCTTCATGAACTGAGCATGTGAGTCCAATGGGCTACCTAAAACCTTTTATGTAAAAGTACAAGAAATTCCCTTTACTTATGGTTCAATGCAACTTTTCCCACACAACAGATATATCACATCAACATTATTAAGGTAAATTCAACATAATAAAACATTTCTAATGTGCATTGTTGCAGATAAATCCCTCCAATTGTAAACAATGCTAACACACACACTGAAAGTGTTGGCATTAAAGCTAAAGTTTGAATGATAATAGTAACAATAATTATAGTAGTAATAGCAAAAAAAACAAAAACAAAACAAAACCCTTCTCCATTACAAGCAGTTTACAAGGTTGTTTATAAGATCCTTTTCACATTATGCAGAATTTCAATACCATCCGCAACGCTAATACAATAATGAAGGCTAAAAATAGCAGGTCAGTGCTTATAAATACTGACATTTCAGACTTCTATTCTTCCTGCCAAGTGTGTGTCTGTGCAACTTTCACTAGTGAGAATAGGCTTGTGCGTACACACACTAAGGGAACAAAGTTAAGCCTACCCAAGTGTGAAAACAGAAGGGGTTCTAACATGAACACTTGAGATATTAACTTAAAATCAACATCTCTAAGTCATGCGCTCCTTGTTTGCAGTAACAAAACTAAATCCCATGTGGCTGTGGGCATCTTAATGTATTTCAAAAATTAGGCCACAAGTACTGTACCATATTTATCAAAACCAAAATATATATGTACTACACAACATACAAAAGTTACACATTAAAAGTGCATACTGAGATTCCATTTTGGCCCATTTCTGAAATTTACATTTGGTCACTCTTAAGCATCCTTGACCTTCCATGTAGAAATAACCATTTCTTCCTCAGCACATACCCCTTATTTCCTCTCCGTACCAACTCTCACTCTGGTTCAGTACAAGATAAAAGAACAATGATAAAGCAACATGGACCAAAAAAATTACTGTATTTTTTTCCACTGATGGGCACACTCACATAGTAAGCATTTATAAATACTAGTAAAATACATTTCTGGGCCAAGACATTGCATATTTCCCTCAGTCACCTGAACCAATGAAAAATAAATTATATTCAGAGTAGTATATTGCCACCGCATGCCTGACAGCACTCTCTCAAGATAGGCAGATGCATCCTAAATACAATATTTGGACTGGAGTGCTTGTTTGCCCCCAGTTCAAGTGCTTTTAACAGGAGGCTAGTTGAAATCCAGTTACCATAAGACCAACCGATAATCTTCATTTGGGGATTTTACAAAAAAAAGGAAAGGAGGAGAGGAAGATCCTTTTGAAAACGGTCTTCATTTATCAGCATTACTGCCTTATGGAGCTAGTGCAATCCTACAAAGCTGAGTCAAAAATGATGAGGCACCATTTAAAAAAGAAAAACAAGGAAAATCACAAATGAACTAGAATAGTTGACGTTAAGGCCTTTCAGTGAACTGGAGAGTTATCAGTCTGATTTAAAGCTGATTACTAAAACATATATTATCCATTCTTAAACGCTTTCTGGTTCTGTTCTGCAGAGAAGGGTAGCATATTCTGGCAGAGGGTTTGCAAAACCCCGTTTGGATATGGACTAGGAGATGTTAGTTCCCTCAAGTTCATGGAAGATTTCATGACTGTTTTAGTCGTTTGCGTGGAATGCCGAACTGCGGACACTGTGCAGAGGCAAGGGCCCGAAAGGCCTCAGCGACTAAGTGGGGGTGAGAGTGGATCATCGATTTCCACCCTGCTGTTTCCGTTATGTCTGTTGCTTGGCTGTAAAGAAAAGAGATGTACAAAAATTGGGTTGAGAAGATTTGCAAGGTACTATAAGTATGTCTACTCAAAAATCAAGCTGCATTAAGCTGAATAGGACATACTTCCACATGGAGATTCAAGTACTTGATGAGGAAGATAAGGGACCAAAACTAACTGATAGCATATCTTTTTAGTTTTAATTTTAGTCAGTGATTATCAAAGTCAACCCGTGTAATCAAAGTTTGTAAAAAGCTACCTTTCAGTACCTGGAGAGCTGGGAAACTTGCTTGACATTTCAACAAATCCCTCTCTTGTTCTGAGTGGGTATTACAATGCTATTGCATTTCATTCAATATTGCATTTTATATGTGAGCTATGGTGGATATCCCATTAATTTCAAGGCCATATTCTCAGTTTACCTTTAGTTGGTTTCCTGATCAAGTTTACAAAATAAATACACAAATATTAAATAGACATGAAATCCACCTGGCAAAAGATTCAAATACAATGAACATAAAATAGGGAGAAATTTGTAATGGAAAAATGAAGGACATCCTTCAATAGTTGCATGCCTGGCTTTAACATTAATTGAGTTTCACTCCTTATTCCACTTTTTTATTTCTCAAGATCAAGACAAGAAACAGCTAGATTACAGACAATGTTTAAGTGACAATCAATGTACATACCTGTTGTTCCAGTTTTTTCCATCTTTACAACCAAGTTGCCTAAGAACACTGCACCTGTGGCATGAGAAAATACTCAAATATTATCTCTTTGAAGGGTTCACTTTAAAGAAGAAAGACTTTTCAAGGAAACAAATTACATACCTGTTAATGAAATCTATTGCTTGTGCTTTCAACTGTTCTGCACTGTGCAAATCTGCGAGAATCAGAATGTCTGCAACATTTTCTACTGAGAGGTTACTACACAGAGCTTCTTCACACATGATCTTCAGCCGTTCAAGTGCATACTGATCGGAGGGAAAAACTGTATATATTCTATACTGTTTCAGTCAAAAAAGTAGACATTTCTAATATACATATGCCTGGTAGGAACTGTGAAATTCTTGATCCCTCACAAAGAATTATCAGTTACTTTGAATAATAGAGCATGTACTGCTCTACCTTCAATGAATTTGTATGAGGGACAACATCTCCCAGTGGCTACATATCTGGCAAGGAAACCCTTATAGGCTTAAGTACACTGACCCATCCTTATTTATTAAAATAAGTCCATTCACCAGGTTTAAAACACCAATAAAAATATTAATCCAAACCTATAAATTTCATTTCTCTAGTCTGCTACCGTGATAGCCTGGAAAAAGGGATTTATGGCAATAAGCAGTCTGAAAAGGTCTTTCTTCTTCCTAAATAGACAACTGCATGTCTGGGTGATTAGTCACCCAATTCTCTGTCCAAAATAATACATAACAGCTGTTTCACTAATAGTATAAAACATGTTTATATAATTTTGGTATCTTACTTTACTCAAGTAACTAAAGTAACTTTGCTGTATTGGTAGTATTCATAATTATAGGAAAATGTCAAAATAAGCACTTTCTACATTTTGTTCAAACAAATGGTAAATATATAGCTTATATAGCTTTTCTTTACTTACTTTATCTGCTGCTGCCAACAAGCTGTCAGCCATTTTCTCAAGATTTGGAGCCTTCCCTGTATAAATGAATCTCATCATCTCTTTAAAAACGTCAGGATCTACATCATTTATTTCTACACAATTCTGTTACACAGATCAGAAAAATCTTGTTATGATTTTGAATTAAAGCATTATAAACCACCTAACCTAAAACAATGCAGCTAACAAAACACATTAGGGTTCCATTACACCTGCTGCTGAAACTTTAATTAAACTTATTTTCTGTCCTTTCAAGCTCAGATAATGACATTTTTTTCCCATGGTATTGCCATAGTGCTCCATTTGGATTTAAATAAATGAGTCAAATGAGTCAAAAATATATGGGTCAAAAGAAGAACTAGAGCTCTTTTGCAGCTAAATCCTCATACAGCTCTTCCTATGTTAGATGTAGCTCCAATACTGCATTTTCTATATTTACAAATTTGTTTCAGGCTCAGAGCAAAATGCTGGCTTTAACTTTTAAAGAAGGTTATAAGGCAATTGCCACTGAAGGCTCTACAATGCCTGGCCAAAGAAATGGGTCACTCCCCCCCTCAAAAAAAAATCCCTCGATTGTACCAGCTGGGAAACAGTTCAGAAGAGGCAACAATACAGCAGACTATGAAACCAGTTTTATTCTGATGGATCATTTCTTCATAACTAAGTATAGGAGTAAGGACAGTTTTGACAGACAACCCATATTTTCCATATTCTTATGTCAGCATATTCAGTCCAGAAAGGCCAATCTTATAAAAGATGTTCCAAAGCTCTAGTATGCCATCTACTAGTCTTACTGCAATTGCACATCTTCCTGTGAGAGGGCAAAAGCAAAGCACTTTATTTTATTTTACGGGTCACATATTTGCAACACTTCCTGTAGTATTACATTTTTTAAATGTATTGTTCGACTAAACTCTAAAGTATTCTTTGGTCAATGACATTTTTTACCTAACCGACTGACTGGTTCCTGTAACCCTAATCTAATTAAAAGGTAAGGTCCTTTGGGACATCACTGCACGGCAAATGAAAGCAACACTTCGCTCACCTTTTTGCTTTCCTCCATTTCATGTTCAAACATGGCATTAAAAACAGGTGAACGAGCTGTAGGAAGAGACTTGAGTGTTAATAGCACATCAAGGCTGTAACAAAAACTACGAAACAATTAATACCCAAGTAAAAGATACCTGCAAGGATAGATTTATGAGCTTTGAATTCCTGTCCTCCTATATAAAAGCTGCAATCTGTGAATCTTGTGGTTTCCCAGAGATTCCCCAAATCTTCAGCTAGTCGGCATTCAGGTACCTTTAAAGTATTTGTACTGGACAGTCCTGATATATTCACTGAGTCTTGGACCACGCTTACCTAATCAAAACAGTAAGGTAATGCACTGATAATTATAATGTTAAGGCTCTATAGGGCAATAATAAATAAATTAGGCAACTGGTATTCTTCATTTCATTCCAAACCACTGACAACTCAAGTATTTCTGATATCCCCACATCATGATATTTAGCTAGAAAAATAAAACAGACCAACAAACCTATTTGACTCATTCAAATCAGCAGTTCAGCATATTAAGTGAAAGCAAGAGATGAGCATTCCTAATAGATTGTTCTTTGAACTCTGCTCCTAATGAAACCTAACAGCAATATGTAGTACTGTACAACTGTTGTATCTTGTACCAGATTCGAAGCCAGAGTGGAATTGGAAGTATTTAGGCTTAAGTTAGAAATAAAGTGTCTAGAATAGATATTTTTATAAGATACAGCAGAAAGAATTCTGTAATTAAAGAGTAGGAAATCTATAGTTGCTGAATTACATAATCCAGCAGCTCCAATCAACCCAGAAGGATGCTGGGCTAGCTTTCCTGTCCCAGCTAATGTCTTGTTATACTGTATGCAGATGAAGCAAGATTTTTTTAAATTAATGCAAGACAAAATAGAATACAGCTGATTCAACTAAGTCAAAAGGAAACGGCTTTGATAAAAACAGGGCATGAGAAGAGAGGGAATTTAAAAGCTACTTCACAGGGGCAATACCCAACAGTAGACTGCATTTTATGTAGAAAACTTCTGGTGATTGTACCTAAAATCTTTAAAATTTAGAGAATGTTACCAGCAACATGGACAAACAGTCTAACCTAAGATGGGTGGCTACCAAATGATAGCCAGCATTACTGTTTCAGGAATAGTTTATAGATTGAAAAAAATGGATTGAATTTCTGTTCCTATGGTGACCTTGACATTTTTTCCAAATTCAGTGTTGAAAACAAGATAAAAAGCTACCATTTTATATCTGTTATGTTTTAAAGCATCGATGGGCAACATTCTTTGCTCCCAAATGTCATGGTGGGTTAGGAGTCACAAATATGCATGTGCATTCAGATTTCCATCAAATGCACACATATATAGACTCTGTACATACACAAAGCCTCTCTGCCTTCAGCAATCTCTTTAAGGGTTAATGCTCTTCTTCCATGATGCCTGCCATTCCCCTCCCCACAATTTGCCAAAGTTGCAACAGAGACCAGATTTTCAAGAAGACCCAGCAGCATAAGATCATCTCAATACAGAAGATGAAGAGCTATAGCCCATCCCTGCAGGTAGTCCTCACTTAATGATGATAGTTGGGACTGGCAACTCCGTTGCTAAGCGACATGGTCATAAAGTGTGAATCATGCAACTGCCCGACTTACAACAGCAGTTGTGGCAGTTCCGGTTGCCATTGTTAAGTGAATCCCACGTGGTCATTAAGCACAATGTCAAATGATCACCATTTGCGACCTCCTGCTGGCTTCCCCATTGACTTTTGCTTTGTCAGAAACTGACAGCGAAGGCTGCAAATGGCAATCACATGACTGCAGGATGCTGCAACCATTGTAATTGCGAGCTAGTTCCCAAGTGCCCAAATTGAGATCACGTGACCGTGGGGATGCTGCAACGGCCGCAACTATGAGGACCAGTTGTAAGTCACTTTGTCAGCACCGCAGTAACTTCAAACAGTCACTGAACAAGTGGTCATTAAGCAAGGACTGCCTCTATTTTAAAGCTAAGTATGTTCAGGTTGTAAACAATAACTGAAGCTCCACAGGGAGTTAAGAAAACGAAGAGCAAGACTGGATTTTCCTGAATCAATGCATCAAAAGCACTGCAATGCAACAGACTACATCTGTTGCACACACTCCTTGCCTTCATCCATATTAAAGATTCGCTTCTAACGAGCTTGGTTTGGAGCACAAACTGTTTGATTCAGGAATATTTTATAATATGAAAATCCTTTCAGACTCAGACTTCTTACATCCACTTATCAATGCAATAATTGTATTCATAACAAATTAATCACATAGCTAATTTAGCCTGTCTATCTAACTAAAATAAGATGCAGTACATTTGCACCATTTAGTCTCAAGGGCCACATTTCAATTATTCTTCATGCACAATATAATGGCACATAATTAAGTTGTAAGCTTGCCAAGAAATTTTTGCACATATTTCTTGTAAATACAAAGATCAAAGCAAACTTATTAGCAGTTACAGCATCTATCATCCTCCTAAGCCACTAATCAGTCCACGGCAGCAGTGATAACCAGCCAAAGTATATTTAACACTCACTGTACTGGGATCATAACCTTCTTCACTAGTTCCCATCATAACCAGTCTTTCTGGGTTTTACTAAGACAGTTTTGGTTATTGACATAATTAACAATGATTTACTTATTTAAGCTAAGGATCTATTTTAGCAGAGAATCTATATTTATTGGATTTTTAAATTAATCTAAATAACTTGCATTCTTCCAAGCATTCATGAACAGTTGGGACAGTTGAGAAAAGTTGCCCTAATTTTGTAATATTGTTGAAAGATTTAAATCTGAAGAATATCATAAGAATTTACTTCTAAACATCTAACATTATGAAGGGCATCATCAATATATAGAACATTACAATTGTTTTGAGAAAAACAATTTTGTCCATTTCACTGCATGATTACTAATTCTAGTATGTCAAACTCGTGATTTAGAAACCTCCTTCTTCTTAAAACATATCGTATAACTATTCCTATCTCTTTTCTTGGTAGGTAAGCTGATTAGGAAAAGTCCAGGATCACAATGATCATCACACAGTATTCACTATGGAAATCAACCATTAATTCTGTCTTTCAAGACTTTGCATCCAAAGTTCTGGTCAATTTAAGCTATGTCTGCTCTCTCCAAGGAGCTGAACCACTAAAAGATGTTCCAAAATGAAGGAAGAAAAGCTTACAGCATAAGCTTACAGTCATGCTTCTACAGACCAGAAACATTTCTGTTTAGGCGAATTCCAATTTAAAAGTTAGGCTTATCTTAAACTAATCAGTAAATGAGGTTCAAGCAAAATACACAAATAACAGATCATATGCTTTGTAGCTTTAAGACACACAAATCCTTGAATAGCTACTGTCAGCCAATGTAAAGAGTACTGGCCTGATTCAAGAAAATGTTAGAGTCATTTGACTGGACTTTATTTAAAAACATATTTTTGTTGAACCAATTGGATCCTGTGGTACATCCCAATGCAATGTAGAATAAAGTGAAGCATTAGAACCATGCAAACACTCTTTAGCTATCTGTAACCAATAAACACACTCCAGTAAGTTCCAAGGCAATGGCATTTTTCACAATCTTACATAACTTTGAAGAGAAGGATATTTCTTCCAATTCCTACTCCATCCTCATGCAATTGTGTGTGTGTGGGTGTGTGCACGTGTATGTGTGTGTTCCATGTATGGTTTGTTCTAGTAACCTACTTATCATCATCAGATTGTCCTGGTTCCCCAACATCTGGTGCAGACCTTGTTAATCCAGGCAACGTCCAAGCCAACATGACTTTCTTAGTCTGTGTCACTCTCATATTTGAGGTAGGCAGGTGAAGCATTAGGGAGTCTGCCCAAGGACCCCTACTGGCATGGTAGGTACCAGCTGGGATTTGAATCCTGGTCTCCCATGTCAAAGGGTGATGCTCTAACCGCTATGCTATCCAGCCGCTCAAGGACTAGATACAGATACAAGTTCAAGAGTGGAACTACTATCAGTCACCTCCTCTACATGGATGACATCAAGCTGTATGCTAAGAGTGAACAAGACATCAACTCGTTGATCCACCTGACAAACATCTACAATGAGGACATTGGGATGTCATTTGGACTGGAGAAATATGGCCAGATGATAGTAAAGAGAGGGAGGGTAGTTAAGACTGATGGGATGGAATTACCAGCAGGCGACATAGCAGACATACAGACCAGCTACTAGTATCTTGGTATCCCACAGTCACATGGAAACCACGATGAGGAGGCAAGGAAGACAGCAACATCCAAGTACCACCAAAGGATAAGACAGGTCCTGAAGAGCCAGCTCAATGGGAAGAACAAGATGCATGCATCAACACTTATGACCTGCCAGTCATCAGATACCCTGCCGGTATAGTGAGCTGGCCAAAGTAGGACATGGAGGCTGCTAATGTGAAGACTCGGAAGCTCCTCACAATGTACAGAGGTTTCCACCCCAAGTCCAACACCCAGAGACAGTACATCAGATGGAAAGAGGACGGGCACGGTCTGGTGAGTGTCAAAGCCACTGTCCTGGATGAAACACAGGATTTCTGTCATTCTGTTTCTTTGTTTAGGTAAGGAAATGTCTCTGAAATGATCACCCAATGGGTCACAGGTTGTCTAGTCATTCCTAAAACTGAACTCAGATTATTAGTATTGATAGGATTATAGCCAAAAGAACACTTCTGAATAGCAACAGAAAAGTATTGGCATGCCTGCAGGATCCCTGAGGATACAAAAAAAAAATTAATTCATTTTTAAGGGGTTTAAGGGAACAGGGCAAGAGAAACTAGTTGGAGTATATAATGAAGTATGGAGGAGGAGGAGGGGTAGGAGGAGGGGGGAAAGAGGACATGGCTACTAGATCAAGACTGAAGAAATCTGAATGATAAAAGAGAAGTATTTTCTACAATTCTTTGTGGCCATGTAGTAGATGTTTACATTAATCCTCCAGGATGGCACCCAAAGATGAGCTGCTGAGAGAATGCCTGAGGCAGCAGCAGACATCAGAGGAAGTTCAAGCAGAGGAAGTGTCATGGCAAGACAAGACCCTGCATGGGATGTACCATTGACAGATAGCTGAGGTGGCTGACATTAGGAAATCCTACCAGTGTCTGGAAAGGGCTGGACTAAAAGACAGCACTCAGGCACTGATCATAGCAGCACAAGAACAGGCACTAAGCACCAGATCCACAGAAGCAGAGCTCTACCACACTAGACAGAACCCAAAGTGCAGACTGCGCAGAGAG